ATATAACTTTGTAGTAATAAGAAATTAAAATACTAATATCTGGATAATTTTAACAGCAAGGCACTCTAAATTTCATTTTTAGTACTCCATAATTAAAGATGTCATTCTTTTTAAGGCTGTTTTGTCTGTGCAGTTGTACAGTACTCTAAAGTTTCTAAAAGAAATGAGGCAAAGTGTTTGTGAAGTCGAGCCACCTCCATTCCTTCCACAGAGCTGCCATCTGGGCTTGTTTATTTGTGTTTCCAACTTTCTGGAACAGAGAGTTTCGCTGTTAGGGACAGAGCACCAAGCAAAGGAAGTGTCTTACAGAAGGCTACCTTTTTTTTTTTTTTTTAATTTTCAAAACTTCTATTTTGGTCAAAAATATCAAATGACTAGCACAATTACAAAATTTAACACAGTTGGAAACCTCAGAATTGTCTTAGCAAACAATCTTCCACAATATGATGCAAGTAATATTTCCTACCTACTACTTTCTTGTGCTTTTCAAATCTTTTTCAAAACACAAATTGTCATTAAGGCTATAGCTATTTGTCCTGGAAATCAAGCATTTTTCATATATCTTTCTACACATAGATACTTGATTTAAAAATGAAAGAACTATTTCCCAGCAGTTTCCCTAATTTTAGAAAGTACATATGAGCCATGTTACCAACAAAATGAAGCAAACAAAACAAAAATCTTTTAAAATATAATTAAGAAACAAAGCATTACTGCTAGATTGATTATATAATCTAATTATGAAGAACAGTTTCAAAATTCACAAGCCAACACTTTGAAAAATTAATAGTCTCTTATCTTTGAAACATTTAACAAATAAAATAGAAGCAAAAAGTACCTTGTAGTGTAAAATCCAGCAATACATATTCGTAAGCAAATTCTGTCTTTGTTTCCACTTGCGGTCTCTTCAGGGTAGAAAATATTTTTCCAGGGCTGCTATCATCAGGGTCTTCTAGCTTTCTAAGTCCGCACCCCATGGCAAAATCTGTAAGGAATTAAATTGCAGGAAAGGGGAGGGAGAGCAGCAAATTCTGTTGTTTAAGCTGCAAAAAGAAAGTTACAGACGTAACTGCTTTGATTTTGTTTTCAGCTAAATCAGAGATACCCAGAAAGAAAACATTGGGGTCCAAAGAAAGGAGGAGAAGACTTTTTCTATCCATTTTTCTGTAAAGTCATTGAACCCATGATTAAGCTCCAGCTCCAGGAGGCTGGGCTTGATCTTAGAGAAACATGCAAGCTGCTACAACTTAGCGGAGAATTTCCATGCCACGTCAATTTACAGCCAGCCCCCTACCAGAGTTCTGTCGCTCAGGGCACCAACAGTGCTTTGTCTACCCAGTTGGCTGGATGATAAAAGAGGTGTCCAAAAACGGAAATAAAAAGGCAAAAGTGCAACTCGGATGTAACTATCTGCAAGTACAAGACAGATTCAGACACAGTGGCATACAATTCTTTTTCTGTTTTCT